TTTGCTGCAAATGTTATTTCATATTATGGTCCATAAGGATGAAAGAGTGGCCCTCCTGCATTGCCCAATTTTGGGTCTGTCTAGGTCTCAGCAGAAATGGCATCCTACCTCTTCATTTCGGCCAAACGTGCCATAGCTCAAGCTTGCAGAACCCCTTCCGTTGTCTTCCAGGGGGTGAAGACCCAGATGAATGCTATGCTGATCAATGAACAGATGTCTAGCGTTCTTCAAGATTCTCATCTGAGATTCCTTAAGGTTTGGGAACCTTGAATACATTATTACCTGATGTCCCTACCTCCTACTAGCTGTGGCCTCTTATAATCGTTGCCTGTGCTAGCCCAGGAGCCATAACTCTTCTAGTCTTCCATTCTTCCATGTTCTCTCCCCGAATCTTTCTTCCTTTCTTATTTCTTTCTATGTTCTTATACTTTCTTTTTTTATCAGTTTGGGTTTCTTTCCCATATGTTCTGACCTGATACTTCTCGGTAGGGGTTTTTCCTCTTTGTTTTTTTTTTTCGGTAATATGATGGATTGCTACTGCTACTATTTGGTTCAGCTTTTTGCCGTCCCTCCTTGGTGTCGTTGGACGTTCCATTATTTGGCTAATATACCCTGCTGATTTGTATCTGCTTATGTATGCTGTTGTTCCGCTCTGCCCCTGCGTGGGCGTATCATGAGCTTGTTGTATTATAAAAACAAAAACTTATTTTATAAAAATATTGAAATAGAAAAGTGCCAACATCAAAGACGCTATAGCAGAAGCAGTGAGGGTTATTCCAGTGTTTTGATTTCACTGAAGTGTAGTCCATTTGCTTTGCAGGAGCAACAGGTATTTACAAAATTTGCAGGAGGTTCTTAGAAAAACAGCTCTGTCTTACTGGTATGGGCAGCCTGTATCACCAATGCAATTCTTTTGATATAGATTTTTTTATTATTATATATATATATATATATAGATATATACACATACACACACAGTATCTCACAGAAGTAAGTACGCCCCTCACATTTTTGTGAATATATCTTTTCATGTGACAACAGTGAAGAAATGACACTTTGCTACAATGTAAAGTAGTGAGTGTACAGCTTGTATAACAGTATACATTTTATGTCCCCCCAAAATGACTCAACACAGCCATTAATGTCTAAACCGCTGGCAACAAAAGTGAGTGCACCCCTAAGTGAAGATGTGCAAATTGGGCCCAATTAGCCATTTTCCCTCTCCGGTGTCATGTGACTTGTTAGTGTTACAAGGTCTCAGGTGTGAATGGGGAGCAGGTGTGGTAAATTTGGTGTTATCGCTCTCACTCTCTCATACTGGTCACTGGAAGTTCAACATGGCACGTCATGGCAAAGAACTCTCTGAGGATCTGAAAAAAAGAATTGTTGCTCTACAAAAAGATGACCTAGGCTATAAGAAGATTGCCAAGACCCTGAAACTGAGCTGCAGCACGGTGGCCAAAACCATACAGCGGTTTAACAGGACAGGTTCCTCTCAGAACAGGCCTCGCCATGGTCGACCAAAGTTGGGTGCACGTGCTCAGCATCATTATCCAGAGGTTGTCTTTGTGAAATAGATAGACGTATGAGTGCTGCCAGCATTGCTGCAGAGGTTGAAGGGGTGGGGGTCAGCCCCCCACCCCTTTACATTCTAGCAAAGTGTAATTTCTTCAGTGTTGTCACATGAAAAGATATAATAAAATATTTACAAAAATGTGAGGGGTGTACTCACTTCTGTGAGATACTGTATATATGCTACTGAAGCCATTTTGTAATTTAATACTATAGTAAGTTTGTGTGTTAGCAAAACGTTTGAGGTATGGGTTTAGGTAGTTTTGAAGGCATAAGGTTTTTTACCTAATGCATTGTATGCATTAAGGTACAAATAACCTTCCAGTATCTGCTCTCCCAGCACCCCTCCTCCTCCTCCAAAAAAAAAAAAAAAAAAAGTACTTGGCTCCTCTTTTGATCCAGCGCTGTGCCTGAGAGCAGCATCTCTGGTCTCTCTCTCCTCACAGGCACAGAGGCAACAGTGGAAGCATTGGTTCCTTCTGCTATCAAATTCTGTGAAGAGGGGGTGGAGCTAAGACACACTGTGTGTGTTGTTGGACACCCAACCCAGCTCGGGAGTGAGCCCACATGCCTGCATGTCTACCCACATACCAAACACTTGCTATGGGGGCGGATACAGAAGAGGGAGAGTAGATACAGAAAAGGAGAAATCAAGAGTGCTGGCGGGGTACCCCAAAGAAGAGGTTATGCAGTATGTTTCTTGGTTGCCTTCTTCTCTTAAGGTGATGCTTGGCGCTTCTCCTGCCTGCCGTTACTGGGCTATGACTGGGTTATTTTTTATTTACACCCTCCGCTATTTTATCCCACATATCAGCTTTGATGAAGGGAATGTATGAGGGCCTAAAATCACTCCCACTTCAAACAATAAAGACGTGGTGTAACAAAAGTTTTGTTTGGGTGGGGAAGAAGGTGTGTGCAAGGAAAGGGGACAGATTATTTGCTGTACCTGTAACGTTCAAATACTGCTCAATAAAAAATATTTGATATGTACAAAAGAAAACTGATTTCCTGCTAATGCATTTGGTCCATTGTTTCCCAGCCATTTATCTAATAATAGTGTCCTTTTATCATGCAGCGGTAAATGATCGCTGCTCAGTTCGCCGGCATTCTCAGAGGAGAGAATTCTCCTCTGAATGTCTTTTTATGAAGCGGTGTAGATCACTTCTCCGAATGAACAGAGAAGCGATCTACAAACGCTTTGAATGCTGGAAAACGGCTGCGTTTACTATAATCTCGCGAGATTACAGTAAGAGATCAGTCAAACACTGTTTACTAAGCAGCGGTAAAATACCGCTGCTTCGTTTTTGGTTCCCCTGATTCTCCACCTCTGGGCTGGAGTATCTGGGCGGAGAACACAAATCGCCAGTGAAGGGTTGACATCACTCCTTCATATATTGGTCATCTTTGTGCTGAGATGATCAGCGGAGAACATTTTCTCCACTGATCATCTCTGTTTCCTAAACCACTAATGATCTGAGATCAGCAACGATCCTTAGGATCGCCGCTGATCTCTGTTTCATAAAAGGACACCAATATAATGCTTGGATTGACCATGTGATTATAGCAGAGAGACACTTTTTTCAGTACTACCACATTCTTTGGCAGTTTGCATAAAACCTTGCAGTGTACATAGTTAACCTGGATACTATTTTTTTTTCTCTCAACAAGTGAAGTTTTACATACAGTGCCTTAAAAAAAAAAAAAACATTTCACAGTGAATGACAGGAAGAGTATTAGGCTGGTTTCACACTGTCCTGCGGTTTGGCTACAGCGCAGGTGTACCCGTAGTTTCAATGTAGTTAACCTGAGTTTTCCTATAGACTTTCTATGAGATCTGAATGCACACCAAAGATGCAGCATGCAAGACTTTTAGTGAGCTTTCAGAAAACGTACCAAAACGTGATTTAATTGAAAGTCTACGGGAAACTGTAGGTTAACTGCATGAAAATTGCTGGTACACCTGCAAATAGCAGTGCAGCAGTGTGAAGGCTTCCTTATAGATAGAGGAGTTTAGGTCTGAGGTCTCTGGATTAAGAAAAACAGTATATGTACATGTACAGCAGATGAAATGAGGCTGGAGGAGTGCTTTATGCCCTCTGTCAAGCTTCACAGAGAAAATGTAATGACATTCATGAGATCTCTTTGGTGTTGGAATGGTAAGATGGAAAATTTACAGAGGGTGCAAGAACAATGAACCAGAAAGATTAGTACTTTATTTTACATTGTCATGCCATGTGGCCAGCAGTAGGACAAAGATACACAGCATACCTCTAAGCTATGAAAAAGCTATTCGGTGTTGAATCCGGTTTCCAGGATACCAGGACTGACTGACACAATCACTAGCTGTTAATATTATCAAGCTTCTGTGGGAAGAGCTTCAATTTAAGGTCAGACTATCATATCCTAAAAAGCTACATAAGATGTGGGGTAACATTTTCTGAATACCTTAAAGGAGAAGTACAGCCAAAGCTCGTCTCCTATGGATCACAGGAGGGCAGTTTGTTGTACATTCCTGTGACCCAGTTTGAGCCGACAGCGAGTCAGCTGACTTCACTCCACTGAGAGCCTGAGCCAGCTTCTCCTGCCCCCCTCCACAGCCCAGCACTTCAGTGAGTGCTTGGGGGGAGTGGGGGGCAGAGCAGACAGCAATGACCAACAGTTTGCTCAGAGCGGCAGGGAGAACTGAGCGATTAGTGGTGTCAGATCGCTCAGTTCTCACCTTTAGAGCCAGCAGGGGGCAGCTGCAGCATTGGATCAATGCTGCATCCACCTAGGTAAGTAGGATTTAAAGAAAAAAAAACAAAACAAACATACATACTCTCTTTTAAGAAACTGAAAGCTAAAATGTCAATGGTCCTCAAAGCTGCAAATCGAGGATTCTTTGATTAACTTAGTGGTTGTAAACCCTTACATATACCGAGTGAAGTGACTGGCCTCAGGTAATACACAAAGATAAAACAAATCCTCCTATATAGGTTGTACCTGTTTATCTACAGTTGTCTGTCTCTTACATCCATTCAAGGTGCCGAATTTGCACAGGATCTCTGAGCTCTGAAAAGCAGGGGCAGGGAGCTGAAGTTACATTTAGCGAGGAGAGCTCTGAGAGCTTTTTGGAGGGAAGGAACACACCCTCTTAACAGAACGGAGGCTGTAAACCAGAGGCTGAACCCTCCCTTCACCTCTTTTTCTCTTGGTGTCAGGAAAGCTTGTCAGAAGTGATTCAGTGAGAAATAACAATGCTCTGGGTTTAGACAAGTACACACTATAAAGGTATATGCTTTGTTCATATTTCATGTCTGAGGTTTACAACCACTTTAAATTTTGATGAATAAAACTAGATTTTTGAATGCTATTATGTATATTTACACATATATTTTTAACATTATTGTATTTGTGATATAATATGTTTATTTTATCCTTTGTTACAGCAAATATTTACAGATGTGGCAAGTGGAGAGCTGTCAACTGAATTAGCTGATGATGTTCAAAGAATGGACAATCTTGTTACTGAAATTCAAGAAATCAGTAATCAGCTGCGTAATCAATACTGAATGAGAATTTTCTGTGTACCAAAATCTACTGTACAATAAAATGTTTTGTTTCTTAAAAGTCTTGGCATGTTATGATTACCACTCTTGTTAGCTACAGACTCATAATCTCCTTCAGAATCATGTGTTTGGCCTATATGTAATGCTTTTGGATACCCTGGAATGACTACAGTTTTATTATTTACACAGCACTTCTTTGGGATTAGTTTTACATGAGTGCATCAACTAATTGGCTGAGGTCCACAGAGTGAAACCGCTGATGGCTGGCAAAGTCATCTTTTATGTCACAAAACAAAGATCTGTGCAGTTTTCTGCTACTCACCATGAGACCGCATGATTGCAAGGGTGAGCTATTAAATTCACTTTGTCAAAATACTGTTATCAGTCAGTCATCAGTTAATGCAGACTAACACATAAACATGAAATGCTTTTCCCCATATATTATCAACCACATCTGGTCAAAAATAACATCTAAAAAAATGATTACTAAATACATTTTATTTATGTAGCATAGGCACATTTAACAGCAAGTCATGTATTGGGTTCAGAGAACTATAGAAAACCATTCCTATCCCAAAAGGAACTGTCAGTCTAATGTGTCTGCACCAGTCGCATAGGTAAAAACACTATGGTAATTTTGCTCAGTATATGCATAAAGCCACTTGAGTCCATCCAGTTTTATAACAGTGCTGGGATTGCAACTATTCACCCTCAGTGCCATTTTTAAATAAAGTCCGTGGCTCCATCAGGCCGCTCACGACACTAATGCTGGAACTGCTGGCTGTCTGTAGCAGCTAGGGTCAAGGGCTTATTGATTCTTCTACAGACTGTTCCATAGGCGCACCCTGTAGACACCAAAGTAAACACAACACTTTTGTTGTGTTTACATCGGAGATTTTATATATATATGCACACACAGTATCAAATTGTGAAATCGGTGCAAATCTACCTAGGATTACAAGAAGAACATGCAACTTCCATACAGATATTGTCTCTGTTGAGAACTGAGTTTAGGACTGAAAGGCTTCAAGGTATCTCTTCGTAACATAGCCCCAGTTTTGTTTTTTTTTTTACAATTGCAAATGTGTTTTCCCAAACTAATGAAATATGATTTTCTTTTAGCAGAAACTTTAAGTAAATATTTTTAAAAATTGCCACTTAAGGCATAAGGCAATATGTCCTGTCATAACACTACTGGATGGGGCATCATAGCATTTGGAAGCATGGAAGATAATACATCACATTGAAGCATTGGACACATTCATAGCCAAATTACTGCAACCACCATTTCCATATAATTAGACCCTGTTTGCCCTCTTCTAGCATGCTCATCAGTTTTTCCTGTTTCAATAAGCTCCTCATAGTCAGCAAAATGTGGAGTCAGCTTATCACTGCATAGCTCAGAGTGCACAGGGGGATTGGCCCAAATATCTTAACTCAGCACCTCTTTCCTTCATAAAAATCCCCATTTAAACGTTCCTTTAGATGTGATAGTATTTTATACACTGTAACATTGTCATACTGTAGTTGTTTGCATTTAACACTCAAACATAATCAGCTGTAAATGGATTTAGTGACAAATGCACTTTTTTTATGTTAATTATATTCATGTGTAATTGTAACACAATTTTACCAATCATATAGGTTTAATGCATCTACAGTATGTTCCCACTGTGGATTTTGTTTCCTAATAGCAAGTAAAAGTAAATATATCCATGTTTAAGAGTAGTTCCCATAACAAGTGGCCCCAATGGTGGGATTTAATATCTACTCTGCTTTCAGTGATAGATGTACAATTATAGATCTCTCCTCACTTTCTGTCCTGGTGACACTGGTACGTGATAGTAAATGTTCTCAAATTGGACACAGATAGTAATAAAAGCTTGACTGAGGTTTTAACTCTTCCCCACTCTGCCCAAAACTGTAGAAAAACATTCCTGGAATTCCTTTTTAAAAGACTACACTTGGGGTCATCTTTTTAATTTCTCCGCAAAACCTTAATGGACAATCATTAAAGCTTGTTAGGTAAATTTCTTTCATAAACAGACATTGCTGAATTTTTACACAGCCAGCCTAGGCTGTGGTCAAAAGTGCCAGTGCTGCAAGGGGTAGCACACAGCCTCCTACATATTCCTATTATTGATAGCATAACAGGTTTCAGACTGCCATCCTGCCTGTCTGTGCAATCATTGCTGCCTCTGGAGAGTTTGTGAATTTTTGTTGGAGGAATACTGTGCAATTACAAATCACCCACTCTGGGTCTGTACACCTAGGACAAAACTGCTAGTTCAGAAAACCAGATCAAACTGCTGGTATTAGTCATTGGTACTAAGCATACAGATTAGTGATGCACTGTTGTATCGGCCAACAAAAGAGTTATTGGTATTTTGCCAATATAAATTAAAAAAATTAATTTTATTTTCTGCCCATTTATTGTCCATAATATTAATTAAAATGTCAAAAAATATACATATAAAATGTCAAATACAATACAATTATATATAAAACTATATTTTTCAAAAACTGTATAGTTTTTTTTGGCCAAGCGCATCCTGAATTTCGGTTTTGGTCCAGAATTTTAATTTCGGTGCACCACTTAGACTGCCTGTCTCTTGCAGCCTCTAGGCTTCTAGCCTTGTGCATCTGATCATCTGTAATATGAAAGCTAGCTGAATGATTGTATGCAAAAACAAGATTTATTTGTGGGGTCGGAGGGGAGATTAGGAAGTATAAATCCTGTGATATCACAGCATCTTGGGAAAGTGCCTCTCCCTGCACTCAGGTAAGGACTCAGATTTTTGGCATTGAGGGGGCACATGACCAAGTGGCCTGGTTATGTCAGGGGCAGCTTCCTGCCAACTAATGAAAGTGCACAGTGATGACACACTGCTGTAATTACTCAACATTGTGAACAGTAGGCATTTTTCTACAGGACATATTTATTGTGATGCATATTTTCGCATATACATAATGAATATGCTACAAAAGAAGGGTGTTTTTTGTAATGGATTAACTAAGAATGATAAGTATTTTATGAGCTGTAAAAGATAACATATAGTCTCACACACTCTGTCATGCTTTAAAAAATCCACAATCCAGGAGAAAAGAGGTCAAGCATAAAACCATAATATGCTTTCCAAAATGCAGTAAGAAAATAGAGAGTACGTATTATAGTCAGAAGTTTATAGTTATATCTTGGTCAAGTGGACACAGTGGGGCTGAGTTACTAAAGGCAAATAGGTTGTTCATTTTGAAAGGGAATTTGCCCCAGAACTTAGTGAATATTGTGAATTTTCACATTGCAAAGAAAACACAATCACGTGCAAAGAAAATAAAAAAACATTTTTAATTGAAGATTATTGGGTGATTGAAGTCAGCAAAGCTTCACCCTACTCAATAAGCTCTGAGACAAACTATGATAAACCAAAGTGAATTGAGTATGTTTCCCAATCATTAACACCGTCACGCCTACAGGTAAAACAAATCTTAAAGCCTAAGCACAATTTTTCAACTTTGACATATGTTAGCAAAATTGTACAGTTGCAAGAAAAAGTATGTGAACCCCTTGGGATTACGTGGAGTTTTGCATGAATTGGGCATAAAATGTGCTCTGAACGTCATCTAAGTCACAACAATAGAAGAACACAGTCTGCTGAACATAATACTACACAAACATTAGATGTTGCCATGGTTTAATTGCACATAACATGTAAACATTCACAGTGCAGGGAGGAAAAAGTATGTGAGGCCCTAGCTTAATGACTTCTCCCAGAGCTAATTTGAGCCAGGAGTGAGCCAACCTTGACTCCAATCAATGTGATGATATTGGATGTGTTGCTGACAACTGTCCTGCCCTTAAAAAACACAGACCTGTTTTGGGTTTACTGGTTTCAAGAAGCACTGTCTGATGTGAACCATGCCTCGCAGAAAAGAGCTCTCAGAAGACCTACGACCAAGAATTGTTGACTTGCATGAAGCTGGGAAGGGTTACAAAAGTATCTCCAAAAGCCTTGATGTTCATGTGTCCACGGTAAGACAGACTGTCTACAAATGGAGAAAGTTTAGCACTGTTGCTACTCTCCCTAGGTGTGGTCGTCCTGTAAAAATGATTGCAAGAGCACAGCGCACAATGCTGCATGAGGTAAAGAAGAATCCCAGAGTGTCAGCTAAAGATCTACAGAAATCTCTGGCACATGCTAACATTTTTGTTGACGTATCTACAATAAGGAAAACATTAAACAAGAATGGAGTACATGGGAGGACACCACGGAGGAAGCCATTGCTGTCCAAAAAGAATATTGCCGCACGTTTGAAGTTTGCAAAAGAGCACCTGGATGTTCCACAGCACTACTGGCAAAATATACCGTGGACAGATGAAACCAAGATTGAGTTGTTTGGGAAGAACACACAACAGTGTGTGGAGAAAAAAAGGCACAGCACACCAACATCAAAACCTCATCCCCACTGTAAAACATGGCGGAGGGAGCATCATGGTTTGGGGCTGCTTTGCTGCCTCAGGGCCTGGACGGATTGTTGTCATTGATGGGAAAATGAATTCCAGAGTTTATCAAGACATTTTGCAGGAAAATGTACGACCATCTGTCCGCCAACTGAAGCTCCGCAGAGGATGGGTGATGCAACAGGACAATGACCCAAAGCATACAAGTAATTCAACAAAACAATGGCTGCAACAGCACAGAATACGCCTTCTGGAGTGGCCCAGTCAGACTCCTGACCTCAACCCAATTGAAATGCTGTGGCATGACCATAAGAGAGCAATTCACACCAGACATCCCAAGAATATTGCTACACTGAAACAGTTTTGTGAAGAGGAGTGGTCCAAAATTACTCCAGATCGTTGTGCAGGTCTGATCTGCAACTACAGGAAACGTTTGCTTGAGGTTATTGCTGCCAAAGGAGGGTCAACCAGTTATTAAGTCCAAAGGTTCACATACTTTTTCCTCCCTGCACTGTGAATGTTTACATGTTATGTGCAATTAAAC